TATCTTTACCCACTCTTAAATGTTCAACTGACTTTGACTTCGATTGAATACATGGAAAGGTCTTTGGATAGAGATCGAGGTTAGTATCACGATCGATTTTTCCACTGGATTGTGCATCAAACCTGGGAGTTTCCATCTGCAGGATAAACCCTATGTTGGATGTGGCAATACAAATTGACGTGGCAATTACAAATTGACCTTGAGAAGCGCTAATCAGTGCCTTCTCAAGGTCAACTAGGGATAGGCAATAGATATTGGCATAGCCAGTGACATCCACATCCGATGAGTGAATAAAGAAATTGCTAAGGAAATTATTGAATGACTCATTATCATATGATTGGCCAAATCATCAAATCCCACCCACCTTACCATCCCTTCCTCAACTGGAGAGGCTAGTACAAATGCAAAAATGGCCATCAAAATGGCTGCCTGCACATGCACAAATGGGCCCAGTGACATCAGTTACTGTTGGCAGAAGTCCGTAAGCCAGCACAAATCTATGCATACATAACTAGCATCACGATGTTCAGGGCATAATAATGTCACACTGGCTGCACTTCACAGTATGGCTTCACTTGCAACTTGCAGTCACCTATTGATCTGGGACAGCAACTTTAGCAATTACTCACTTTTCTAGAATTATTTGCAGTCCTTTTAGACTTCGTGGATGAAACAGAGGTTGAACAACGATCAAATTCTGATAGAAGGTCTTTAACATTCTGTAATAATCTTCGACCATAATTGTTGGCTGTAGATCCTCATTATAAACTAACTCAACGTCTCCCAGAAGGTAGCTGGTCCTCTCTTTCAACACAGAAAGATGGCTGTGAAGATCATAGTAGATGGGCAACCTCTCCAATAGCTTCAAGTAACAACAAATTAAATATTTACTAAACTAATACTTGGCGCATAATTCACAACTTAAACATTTACAGATGCCTTTGTTACCTCCAGACTGGACTTGTCTGAAATGTTTTCTGCCTGGCTTCCCACCTTTCACTCTCTGTCAACTCAACCTTATGCAAAACTGTGCCAGTTTGTCCCATTCATCCATCATCCACCGTACTCACCAAGATATACCGGCTCCTAGTCTGGCAATGCCATGATTTTACAATTTATATTCTGATTTTCAAATTCCTGCCTTACAACCCTCCCAAGATCTTGGTGCTCCTCCAATTTGGACCTCCTGAGCATCCCTTATTTCTTTCAATCCCATACTTGAGGCTGTACCTTCAGCTACCTGGGCCCTAGGTTGAGGGATACCCTTCCTAAAATTTGACTAGATAGAACATTGGAAATATTTATAAAGATAATAAATATGAAATGCACATATTTTGCTGTAATGTTGTCTTTACTGTTAGTTTCACTTACTTTTGTCCAGTGATGATGGACATCCACAGTTCCTAACATAATCTGCCCTGCAGCATTCATCCCGGAGCTATCAGCAAAGATTAGAGTGCATCCTGTAAAGGAAACAGACACACCCATGGAAAGGGATGAAAGATTTGTGTCAACGTTCACAGTGTAGAAGATCCATTGCACAGGTCCACTTTAAATTAGTCAGATCCCTATCTGAAATAAATAAAAGCAAAGTACTGTAGTTGCTTTAGATCTGAAATAAAAGCAGTGCTGGAGAAACTCAGCAGTTCGGGCAGTGTCTGTGGAGAGAGAATCATAATTAACATTTTGAGTCTGATGCCTTCTTCAAACCAAAAGCAGCTGGAAAATGGTGGTGTCATGCTGTTGACGAATGGGAAAGGAAGAGTAAGTGGAACAAATGGTGAGTGTGCCAAGTGTGAAAGACAAAGGTAGCACTAACAGTAGGAGGAGAAGGATAGAACCACAGAATAGGTTTTAATGGAAGATGTTAGTAGTATAGCAGAAAATAGGTCAGCTCTGTTATTGGCAAACCAGACACTGGGGGATGGGGAGGCGTAATCGAAATGGAAGAAATTGTTCATGATCTGAAGTTGGTGAACTCAGTGTTTATTCCTGAAGATGGTAAAGTGCCTCAGTGCACAATTAGGTGCTGTTCCTCCAGCTGGTGTTGAGTTTTGCTTGAGCACTGGAGCAGATCTGGGACACAAATGTTAGCAATGAGAACAAAATGGTGTATTAAAATGGCAGGCACTAGGAAGGTTGGGGTCATTCCTACAGATAGAACTGAGGTGTTCTGTTGAGGAGTCACTCAGCCTGCGTTTGGTCTTGCCAATGTATGGAAGAGCACATTGTGAGCACAGCAGACCACGCTGAACAAAGTACAAGTAAATCGCTGCATCAGCTGGAATGGTATGTCTGGAACCTGACAGAGTGAGGAGGCAGGTGAAAGAGCAAGTGTCACATCTTCTACATTTGCACAGGAAGGTGTCATGGAAGTATCGCAGAGGGACTAATCCTTGCAGAATGCTGACAGTAGAGGGGAGGAGATGATGTACTTGGTCTTGGCATCCTGCTGGAGGTGGCAGAAATGGTGCTGGAAGATGGAGAATCCTCGGTTGAGGAAAAAGCTGATGATATTGGAAGCATCCTTGTGGAGGGAAGATGGTATAATTGGAAATGATGCGACAGAGATGGAGAAAGTGGGAGAATGGAATAGGGTCCTTAAGTGAAGCAGGGTATGAGAATGTGTATTCGAGATAACTGTGGCTACTCAGTGGGTATGTAATGGATATTGGGGGACAGCCTATCTTCAGAAATAAAAGCAGAGAAATCAAAGGAGGGAACGGGGACTCAGAGATGGACTAGAGGAAGTGATAGAAGGATTCAATTACAAGATTTCTTTCAAGAAGTTTGTAAGCATGAAGAAAGGGCATTGGGTGGGTTTAATTTGAAAACTGTTGGAGTGAGGAAGTTTGAATGCACAGAAATTACACTTAAATGAAACATTAGCCTGCTTATCTTGTTTCTGAACATGCTAGCATAGCCATTTTCTAGTTTTGGTTTCATATCCCAATGCTTGCAAGTATTTATGAAAAGACAAACCTTTGATATTATGTAATTCTGGAGAGTTCTGCTGGGTGAAACGAGCAAGGCTGTGTAATTGGCTACATCGATGAGCTACTCCCCAACTTCTCTGCCACCTAGACCAAAAGCAAAATTAAAATCAAGTTACTGGTGATGGAATCTAATATACTTATGAGCATTCAGGAATATTCCTAAGTATGCTGGAAAACAATGTGAAAAATAAAACTTTAATATTCTTCTGTATTCCAGAACTCATTGGATTCCAGGAGGCTTCCAGCAGATTGGAAAACTGCTAATGTGACACCCCTGTTTAAGAAGGGAGGCACACAGAAATCATGAAACTATAGTCCAGTTGGCTTAATGTTGGGAAAATGCTACAGACCATCAGTAAGGAAGAAACAGCACAACATTTAAAAAAGCTTACACAACAGCGCACTTCACATGATTTTGTGAAAGGGATATCACATTTGACTAATTTGCCAGAGTTCTTTGATGATATAACAGGTCAAGATGATAATGAGGGACTGGTAAATGTAATGTATTTGGATTTTGAGAAGCATTCAATAAGGTGCCACTTAAAAGGTTATTGCACAAGATAGGAGCTCACAATATTGGGAGTAATGCATTAGCATAGATTGAGGATTAAAAGATGTGTGAACATACAGTTAGGATTAATGGGTAGTTTTCAGACTGGAGAGACATAACTAGTAGAGTTCCACAAGCATCAGTCCTAGGACCTCAATTATTTACCATTTATATTAATGACCTGGGAGGAGGGGGCACAGTAAAATGTATCCAAATTTGCTGATGATACAAAAATAGGTGGGGAGGCATTCTGTGATGAGTACATAAGGAATTTGTAAGGGGATACAAATAGGCCAAATGAATGGGGAAAAACCTGGCAGTTGTAATTTAATGTAGGAAAGTGAGAGGTCATGGAATAATCAAAAGGCAGGCTATTATTGAATAAAGACAGACTCCATTAAAAAGCAGTACAGAGGAATCTGGGTGTTCTTGTGCATGAAATGCAAAAAGCAAGCAGGTGCAGCAAAGTAATTCAGATTGCAAATGGAATTTTGACCTTTATCGTGAGAGGGGTGGAGCTTAAAAACAAGATGTTGGTGAAGCTGCACCTAGAGTACAGTTTTGACCCTGTTAGTGGTGGGGCAATTAAATTGAGTACATGCCGCAGGCCAGAAGTGGACATCTTGGGAGGGTTGTGGAATTGGAGGAGAGCAAAAACAGGGAGGGGTGAAGCATGGGAGAGATACAGGATAAGGAATCTCAAATCATCCTGTTGCCAGATTGGATTCCAATGTAGGTCATGGGGGGAGGGGTGTGCCATCGCAGATGAGTGGTCCGAGTTTTTATATGATCGGTAGTTGTGAATAAATCCAATGTTTAAAAGGTGCAAGGTTGTAGGCCGGCCTGACGAACATCAGAATAGCTGAGTTTGAATCTAACAAAACTAGAGTGGAGGGTTTTAGCAGTGGCAGAGATGTGCATTGTCATAGAGGTGGAAGTCAGTAGCTTTGGAGATGGAGATGAAATGAGGTTGGAAGCTCAGCTTGAGGTCATCTGGTTTTGCCTCAGTATTCGCAAGTACTATTAATCCCAAGCTGTTTAACAGATGCACGGAAAACAGTTGTAGAGTGGGTGGAATCACCTCCCTGAACTACAAAACAGCTCAAACCCTACTACATTTAAAGAGACTCGTTTAAAACTCTACATATGTATCCCTTTCTGACATATTTAGCTTCCTTTTAGAAGCAGTACCTGATATCAGCTATCTCCAGTTGCTGACACAGTTCCGTTTTTAAATGATTGAGCTCATCTCGCAGTGGAATACTGATAGTTAACTTCTCGGAGGCAGTAGCTCTGTTTTTATGTAACCACAACCTGCAAAATTAATATTACATCAGTTTTTCAGCATTATTCTCTCAATAACACCCATGATTTCCTCAAAAGGATTCCAAAACCAAAAACCATGGGGTTGAGAAACCTTTGACTAGTAACTCTCACCCAGCAAAATTTAGGATTGTCTATTACTCTTGCAACATCAATTTGAGAAAAACTGACAGACTTCTTAACTAGCATCACCAAGCCTGTTCAAATCACACATTTCACAATATTATTAAGTGTAAATAGATTCAATACAACTTGTCATGGTCTTCATTTATAAAATATTGAAATCTATGAAAACTTGTTTAATTTACCTTTTGTATAAACAAGTCACTGGAATAGCCTAAAATGGACAAGTTTTACGTAATATTGTGAGAATCCGATTCCTGTAAGGGTGGTAAAACAAATTCAATATGTGCCAAAAAGAACTGGATGAATTCTTGATAAGGAAAAATGGATAGAGTTTGGGAAAGAGACGGAGAATGGGACTAATTAGATTGCTGTTCCAAAGATCAGCTCAGGCACAGTGGACTGAATGGCCTCTTTTTGTGTCATAAGATTTCAAAAAGATTTCTCTTGCAAACCAAATCCCTTAGTTTACAAGAACAGAGCAGTTAATGAACTGCTTTTCATGATTTCAGGACATGCCAAAACATTTCACTGCCCCTTTTGAAGTGTACCTACTCTTGTAATATTGAAGAAACATTAGTCAACTTGCACATGGCAAGATGCCACAAATAGCAATTTAATAATGGCTGGATAATCTGATTATTTGATGCCGAGTGAGGTGTAATATCCCATCCAAAAGACTGCATCTGTACCATTGTTTTTGCAATTGGAAATCTTCTTTCAGTGGAATTCCCAAGGATGAGTCCCTTGCTTTTTTTGGTATATGATTTAGACAAATATAAAGGTAATCAAGAGGATTGAAGATGACATAAAAATTGGCCAGGTGATTGATAATGCAGAAGTGGGTGGTAAAATGACAAATAGAATTCAGTCTTGAGGCATTCAAGGTAATGAATTTGTGGAAGACAAACAAAGCAAAGGAATTGTAAGACATTGAGAAGTGTAGAGGCAGAAAGGGATCTTGGAGAGCATTCTTACAGATCCCTGAAGGTAACAGAACAGATACATAGGATGGTAAAGCAGAAGTAGGGGATACCTTTCTTTACAAGTCAAAGCAAAGAATATAAGAGCATGGAGTTCATACTGGAACAGATAAAGCATTGGTTAGACCGAAACTAGAATACTGTGTGTGATTCTGATCACCTCATTCTCGGAAGCATGTGATCACATCAGAGAGGCAGAGGAAATTTACAATTTCACAGAGGATACTGAGGCAGATTCAACTGAGATGTTTAAAATTATGAAGGGCCTTGATACAGTACATAGGAATGACCTATTTCACTTATCAGAGGCATAAATTACTAGGGGGCAAAGATTTCAAGTGATTAGTAGAAAGATTAGAGGGGAGAAGAAGATTTTTTTACCCAGAGGATAGTGGGCGACTGCAATGACTGGCTAAAAGATAGGCGGAAACCTTCATCTCAATTATAAGGTATAGTTTGTGTACTTAAAGGGCAATTATAAATTATAAACAGTGTAAAACTATACATGTCAAGGGGCACAATGTCAACAGCTATCAACATCAGGCTCGGAAATTGATTAGTTTGAATAGGTCTTTTTTGACCGGCACAGGTACAATGCGCTGAATGGTCTTCTTCAGTGCCATACATTTCTGTGATTCTATAAATGCTGCATTCCCTCTACTTTCCTTCCACAGTACTACCCCTGTGATAATGCAGTACTTCTATTGCCGTGCCCTTTTGATAATGTAGTCCTATCACAGTACTGCCCCTCTATAATGCCCCTCTGGGAGCAGAGCCCTCCCTTAGCACTGTGATCTGACAGATTACCAAATGCAGGGCGGCCACTGAATTGATCCTTTGACAGTACAGCCTTCCCTTAGTACAGTATCTCCAACAGGTCCATACTCACTCAGTACTGTCTTTCTGACACTGACACTCCCTCAATACTGACCTGAGTGAAGATTTGAACTCATGGCCATCTTAGTTGTACTACGCACTAAGCCACAGCTGACACTTGAATGATGAGTCTAATATTAATGATGCGAATATCTGGAAATGGGCTACGCCACAACAAGAATCACAGCAATTAAGGCAACCTTGAATAAGGTAAGCGGTAACAGTTTTTGTACCCAAGTGCAGGTTCCATACGGACAGTGCAGTCCAACTCTTCCTCTGGGTCCCTGTAGCCAGTGACAGTATAGTAGGTCTTATCCCATTTGATAGGTCTACCAGATGGAACGCTCCTGATCTGCTGAGGCAGGCCCTTGTCAATCTGTGAATCTTGCACATGATCAGTGGATAAACTGCAGGATTTCAAGATCGTTACAACCACACTGAGCAGGTCCTTACTCTGTAGCGTAAAAGTGACTGGTCGAAACCCTGAAACAAATAGTTTTTGTCTTAATATTAACTAAATTTGTAGGCATAAAATGAACTTACCACAATACAGTGTGAAATTAAACACAGAAAAGAAAAACAGGAGTAGGTCATTTGGCCTTTCAAGCCTGCTCCATCATTTAATATGATCACGGCTTATCATCCTAGTCAGTACCATGTTCCAGCTTTCACAGCAGACCCTTTGAGCCCTTTAGATCAAAGGACTATAACTCCTTCTTGAAAACATTCAATGTTTTTGCCTCAACAGTGTCCTGTGGCAGAGAATTCCACAGGCTCACCACTCTGAGTGAAGATATTCTGCTCACCTCTGTCCTAAATAGCTTACCCCATATCCTTAAACTGTGACTCCTGGTTCTGGACTCTCTGGTCCTCTGGAACATTCTTCCTGCATTTACCCTGTCTAGTCCCATTAGAATTTTATAGATTTCTATGAAATCCCCCCTCATTCTAAACTTCAGTGAATGTAGTCCTAACCAATCCAGTCTCTCTTCATATGGTCAGTCATGACATCCCAGGAATTAGTCTGGTAAACTTTCATCACATTTCCTTAGATAAGGAAGCCAAAACCGCACACAACATTCCAGGCGTGGTCTCACCAAGGCCCTGTAATATTGCTGCAAGGTATCCCTGCTCTTGTACTCAAAATCCTCTCGCTATGAAGACCAACATATCATTTGCCTTCTTCACTGTCAGCTGAACCTGCATGCTTAGTTTCAGTGACTGGTGGACAACAGACAAATTATTGGATGATAGAGGACAGCGAGAGGTGATTCGGCCTGTCATGCCTGTTCTTCAGAATTACTTCTCCATTCCCGACTCTTTCCCCAAAGCCCTGTAACTCCTCTTCCCATTCAAACGTTTATTCAATTCCCTTTTGAAAGTTACTACTGTATCTGCTACTGCTGCCTTTTCGGGCAGTGTACTCCATATCTCAACAATTGATATGCAAAGAGCAAAAAAACAGGTGTCCTGCAGTGCGACATAGCTTACATTGTGCTGCTGCCATCACCCATTCTGACAGCTTGCAATTTCTAAAATGATCTCAAATTAACTTGACCAAGAGCAGTAGAACAATGCTTACACCAATTTGATTTTGTGTATGTAGTGTCTTTAACATTGCAGAATGTCACAAGATGCTTCATAAGAGGCTTATCAAACAAAATTTGACATAGACACATAACCCCAGGCAACATGGTGGCACAGTACTTAGAGCTGCTGCCACACAGCGCCAGGGACACAGGTTCAATTCCAGTCTTGAGCAACTACGACTATGTGGAGTTTGCACATTCTCTTCGTGTCTACATGGATTTTCTCCGGGTAGTCCGGCTTCCTTCCACAGTCCAAAGATGTGCAGGTTAGGTGCATTGGCCACGTTAAGTTGCCCCATAGTGTCTAGGGATGTGTAGGTTAGGTGGATTAGCCATGCGAAATGCAGGGTTAAGGGGATAGGGTAGGAGGTTTGGTCTGGGTGGGATGCTCTTCAGAGGGTCAGGTGGACTCGATGGCCAAATGGCCAGGTTCCACATTGTATGGATTTTATGAGATATTAGGACAGGTGTGAGTGTCTGAAAACAGAGCAAGGCAGAAAGGAACCGAATTCCAGTGCTTGGGACTTCGGCAACTAAAGGCACAGCTGCCACTGGTGGGGTGAAAGAAAAGTAGGGATATAGAAGAGATCAGAACTAAAGAAGTGCAGTTATCTCAGAGGGTTGTAGTGCTGGAGAGGAATACAGAACTGGGATGGGCGAGACCATGGAGAGATTTGAAAGCAATGACGAAAATATTAAAATTGAAGCATTGCTGGACCAGGAGCTAATATACATCGATGAGCACAATACTCCTGCAAAGCACTTCTCACCCTGTCATTGTACCAATGCAGGAAAGCATTTGCACATCACTGCACCACTGTTACTGCTCCACAATGCCCCTGTTGTACATCCATATTCCCCGCATCAGACGAATGTTAATTAGTGGATAAATATTGGCCAGGATATGGAGGCGACCTCATCTGCACCTGTCCAAAATAATGCATTGGAACGTTGTACGTATACCTGAGCAGACCAATGAGGCCATGGTTTAACATTTTATTGAAAGATACCATTGGACAGTGTAGACCTCCCTCAGTACTGTGCTTGGAATATCTACCTAAATTTCTGTGCTGAAGCCCTGGAACTGGACTTGAATCCAGGACCTTGTGGCTCAGATAATAGTGCTACTCACTGACATAATGAGCTTAGATTCAAGCTTATTATGAACAGTATGGTGGCTCAGTGGTTAGCACTGCTGCATCACAGCACCAGGGACCCAGGTTCAATTTCAGCCTTGGCGTGTGTGGATTTTGCACATTCTCTCCTCGTCTGCATGGTTTTTCTCCGGGTGCTCCAGTTTCCTCCCACAGTCCAAAGATGTGCAGGTTAGATGGACTGGCCATGTTAAATTGCCCATAGTGTCCAGGCTAGGTGGATTTTCCATGGGAAATGCTGGGTTACAGGGATAGGATAGGGAATGGGTCCAGGTGGGATGCTCTTTGGAGGATCGGTGTGGGCTGAATGTCCTGCTTCCACGCTGTAGGGGTTCTACGGTTCATGGCTTCATTTTCTTTGTAAAGCACATAACACTTTGCTCTGAGGACACTGGGACTACACATCTCTCTAACTAAAGGCCTGAACAACAATACACTGCAGAGAATATCTGCCTTAAATCTATGAAACCGGTTAAGTCAGAACAAGAGTAAAAATTAGTGCATACAGCTCCCACTTAAACATTGCCCCTACCTGAGGTATTTACATGGCGCTGGGGTGCATTTGGATCACTACTTGTGTCTCTGATGTAGAATGTGAGTTTTGTAGGTTGAAGGGCTTTCTGTCCTGGTCTTTGCATGCACTCCAAGTAGCTATTCAACTGCTTGAGGGAATTTTCATTCACTTCCTGCAAAAGCAAAACAATACACAGAGACTTTCTTCCAGCTGAAAATAAATTGCATCTGATTCTTAGAAAAGCACAGCACAGAATCAGGTCCATCGAGTCTGCACTGATTCATCCGGTCTGAGTTGAAAGATTTTTTTCAGTGGGGCAGTGGTCACATGGCACAGATACTTAAGCTCTACCAAAAATTGGTAAATACCACTGTCATCTTTAATCACATCTTTACCTAACCAAATCTGGGCTGAAACATTCAAGGAATGAAAGCCTTTATCTCCAAAGGAATAATGACCATTAGCACCGGTTCTTCTTTACACTCAAACAAGAAATCATGGAATGGTTTCCACAATTGTCTCTTATATTGAACATAAGGACAGGAGGAGATTATTCAGCCCCTTGAATCTGCTCCATTATTCAATAAGGTCACAGTGGATATGTAACCACCTGGTCTCACACCCCTTGAAAAGATAAAAACCTATCACCAATTCTAAAATTAACAATTGACTGAACATTAACTGTGGTGTTCAGAAGAGAGTTCCAAGCTGTTACCACTCTTTGTGCGTAGGACTGTTTCCTAATTTCATTCCTGAGAAGTCTAGCTCCAATTTTTAGATTTGGTTCACATTCAAGCACAGGAATTGGGTGCTCACCTCAAAAAGCTATTTGCAACATGGAACCAGCTCCATGTTTCCACAAATTTATGTAGCAATAGTGCCAGTATAAATGAGATGGATTATAAATGGCAGAGCAATAAAAATGATTTAAGAGCATACAGTGTAGTAACAGACCAGTGTAAAGACATTCAGAGTGTCTCAGAAAGACAGAGATGGAACCTGCCTGTGTAGTTTAAAGAAAAATTTGAAACAAGGACACTGTACCTGGAACAGGGACAGCATTTGACGCATGGTGTCTATGCCAGCTCTTTGAAAAAGTTATCAAATAGGTCCCATTCTGCCCATGTTCCTTCCCCTTCAATTATTTATCCAATTCCCATTTGAAGGTCACTATTGAATTTGCTTTTACTGCCCCTTCAAACAGCACATTCCAGAACAGTTAACAATTATCTGTGTCCTCTGGTAACAGAACTTCCCATCATTGAGCCGCTTCCTTATATTTACTCTATCAAACCCCTTTATGATTTTGAATGCTATGAAAGGGCACCACGGTGGCTAAGTGGTTAGCACTGCTGTCTCACAGCGCCAGGGACCTGGGTTTGATTCCAGCCTTGGGTGACTGTCTGTGTCGAGTTTGCACATTCTCCCCATGTTTGCATGGGTTTCCTCTGGGTGCTCCGGTTTCCTCCCACAGTCCAGAGATGTGCAGGGTAGGTGGATTGGCTATGCTAAATTGCCCATAGTACCCAGGGATGTTTGGGTTAGGTGGGTTAGACATGGCAAAAGCAGGGGTAGGGGAATGGGTCTGGGTGGAATGCTCTTCGGAGGGGTGGTGTGGACTTGTTGGGCCGACTGACCTGTTTCCACACTAAAGAGATTCTATGATTCTATGAAATATCCCTCAAGTTTCTCTGCTGTAAGGAGAACAACACAGCTTATCCATTCTCTCTAGATAACTGAAGTCATTCATCCCTGATAACATTCTGAAAAGAAAGATCTGAATTTCTACTCTACCTTTCACATCCTCAGGTGATTCAAAACCGCCTTACTAGAAATTTAGTCACTGTTGTAATATCAGAAACATGACTGCTAATTAGCATGTAGCAACTTTGCACAAATAGCAATGGGATAATGATAAGGGATAATGATAAGGGATAATGATCAGATAATCTATTTTAGTGATAATGGTTGATGGATAAATATTGGGTAGGACACTCAGGAGAGCTCTCCTCTTTTCCCTAATGTAGTACCAAAGGATCTCTTACATCTACCTAACAGGGTAGACAGGGCTTTAATCTGAAAAAGATAATCATCCAAAAAATAATCACTTCTGACAGTGTTGCACTCCTTCAGTACTTCACTGGGCATGTCAGCATAGAAAGTGTTCTCGTCTCTGCAGTAGGACTTGATCCCACAACTGCTTGATACTGAGGTGAGAGTGCTATCCACCACATGACACCTGACACTAGATCCTGGTAAAGCTCTGCACCTTCTCCAAGGTGATAATTAGTTCTTAAACTCAGAAACCTCACAGAGACCATCAGTACCTACCCTCTCTCTCGGATACTGGCCAAAGAAATCTGGGTGTACAGCAAAGTAGAATGGTCTCAGGGCATTCACAGCTTCAGTCACTGACAAGATGCTCATTCGACAAATCTGATGATTGGCTATTCCTGCACAGAATCTGGGATAGAAAATTAAGTGATTTGGTGAGTAACAGGGAGTCGGTTTCTATTGCATTATAGAATGTTTGCTCAGCTGAGCCTGCATAGCAGGAGAGTTTGTAGAAAAAAAAATCAACAATGAAAATTGTAGCTCAAGTTAAATGCAAGTTATTTGGGCAGTAGGAATTGTTACCAAATTGCACAAAGGTCTCAAAGTACATGAACAGATGAAAGGGAAATCAATAGAAAGATTAACCGATGGGGTGAGATGAATTAGGAAGGAAAGAAGTTTACATGAACCATAAAAATTGGCTTGGGTTTGTTGGGCCAAATGGCTGCTTCATGTTGTATGTTTTACATAAACATTGGTACATTGAAAATTCTGGCTAAAATATCCCCCAGGGATGGACAATGTACTTAGGGATTCCAGGTCAGGCTGCAAAATCAATTGGAAACAATTCAACAGAGGATCCAAATCTAAAAGTACAGTCATACAGCAAACCAGAGTAGCCAGGGTGTATTTATAGGACTGTTGACCAAAAGACAATACTATACCGAACTTATACAAAATCCAATTTTAACCTCCTCACATATTGGATTAAATTAAGTCTTTGGAATACGTGAAGAGGAGCAGGAATATGTCAATTTCCCTGTGTAAAGATTCTTACTTAAGACTGCATGGAAGAGTTGGGACTTTACAGGAATTAAAACTTCATGAGTGATCAGTTTGAGGTCTAGAATATAATGACGGGAACTGATAATGCTCCAGTTGAGAGTTTGATTCAATAAACAGATTCAGGAGGTGAAGGGGACACAACTTCACATGCACAGGGCTACTGTCAGGAGGTAGTTCCATCCTCACAAAGTAGCAAAGTGCTGTCTCACACAACGGACAATGAATCACTGAATTTCACCAAGAGACAGCTGGAGCTGTTTGTGACCAGGGAAGATATCACCTTGCTCAAGAGGAAGCTATTGAGTCGAATGTCCAGGACAATAGAGCTTACTAGGGCGGTTTTGATCACCTACACAGCTTGGAGAAGAATTTCCCAGACTTTATTCTTTGCACAATTCAGGCTGGTGCAGCCTCCTTTCACGTGACTTTTAGATGGGGAGTGTCCATATCATAACAAGCAACGTGTCACAGATTGTGTGGGATGATTTGGGTATTCCGGAGCACCTGTCTTTAACTGTTCAGGTGTCATGTCTGTGTTCTGTATTCGTGTGTTGTATGTTCATAAATGACACAAAACCCAAGATTGTAGGAGATGGTGAACAGGACACAGTTGATCTATTTCTGCTCAGAGAGGTAGCGTTCCATCACAAAGTCAAGTGTCATAGCAAGAAAATATGTGTTTTCTTCATGACACACACTGGACTTTCAGACTCCTTTAGGTTCGTAATGCTGAGCTCCACTGAAATGGCAGTTTGCGGGGGTGTTACAGATCCCATCCCATCTCATTACAGACTTAAATTCTCTTTCCCTCCTTTGTTGAGGTTTCAACTCAACACTCAATCCAGACCATTCATTCAGAATCTTACGATGATAAAGTGTTTGTGATCCCACTTTCACATAAACTGCCCCAAGTTATAGTAAAAGGAGGACGGAGCAACTAGTGCGAGTGCTGGGGGCTGCAGTTTCAGAGGGGGAAGAGTAGAGGGGCATGAGGGGGGGGTGTGGGTATCAGAGAGGAGGGGATATCAGAAGGGGTGGGGGTGGTCTCAGGGGGAAGAGAAGGAGCGAGGTGTCTGTCAGAGGAGGGTGAGATTTAGAGGGTGGTGTGTGGGGAGGGGGCTGTGGAGTCGGTGACATAGGAGTCAGAGGTGAGACAGAGGTCAGGGTGCCTCTGACCATTGACCCTTGACCCGAGGCCTCGCTCACCTGCCCAGAAACCGGAGCATCCGCGCGGATCATCCGGGCCGCAGGCCTCGGCCGAGCCCAACTGTCAGTCCCAGCTCCGGGCCCCGCACTCACTTTGCCTGACGGTCACCCGGACAACGAGGGCACACTCGAATAATCCATACCGGAGAGACCGATCACCAGGGAGCAGCAATAACTCCCAGAGAAACCGATTGCCAGGGAGGAGCAATTCATTCGAGAGTGACCGATCGTCAGGGAAGACCAATCCGTACCGGAGGTATCGAGTATGAAACAATCGCAGTCGTTTTTGGTAGTTTATTCAGCCCATTGAGGTTGTGCCAGCGTAGGTTTGAACACTTGTTGTGCCATGATCTCACGTTCGTTCTTTTCTAATTTTTCCAACATTAAAATTGATTTAGATCCAGGTCCAAGCCTCTTAATCTTCGTCTCAGCCCGGGATAGTAAGAACTGCCGATGCTGGAGTCAGAAATAATATGGAGCTTCATCAGAAAAGAAGGGTCCTGACCCGAAACGTATTCCTCCAGTTCCACACTGTGTTATCTCAGCCCGGGAGATCCTGGGTCAAAGGCATAGCACCAAGAACCGTACACAGTACTCAAACTGTAATAACAAAGTGTAGAGCTGGAGGAACACAGCAGGCCAGGCAGCATCAGAGGAGCAGGAAAGCTGACGTTTCGGGTCTCGACCCTTCTTCAGAAATGGGGGAGGGGAAGGGGGCTTTGAAATAAATGAAGAGACAGGGAGGCGATGATAGAAGGTGGATAGAGGAGCAGATAGGTGGAGAGAAGACGGACAGGTCAAGGAGGCAGGGACCATTGGGCTGCAGGGTTCCCAGGCGGAATATGAGGTGCTGTTCCTCCAGCCTTCGGGTGGCATCGTTGTGGCAATGGAAGCGGCCCAGGATGGACATGTCGTCCAAAGACTGGGCGGAGGAGTTGAAGTGGTTCGCGACTGGAAGGTGTTGTCATTTGTCACGAACCAAGCGTAGGTGCTCCACAAAGCGGTCTCCAAGCCTCTGCTTGGTTTCCCCCATGTAGAGGAGGCCACATCGGGAACAGCGGATACAGTCGACCACATTAGCGGATGTGCAGGTGAACATCTGTTTAATGTGGAAGATTTTCTTGGGGCCTGGGTTGGAGGTGAGGGGGGAGGTGTGGGGGGAGGTGTAGGGGCAGGTGTAGCACCTCCTGCGGATGCAGGAAAGGTGCCAGGGGTGGTGGGGCTAGTGGAGAGTGTGGAGCAGATGAGGGAGTCGCGGAGAAAGCTGTCCCTCTGGAAGGCAGATAAGGGTGGGGAGGGAAATATATCCTTGGTAGTGGGGTAGAATTGTAGGTGGCGGAATGATGCCACCCAAAAACTGGAGGAACAGCACCTCATATTCCACCTGGGAACCCTACAACCCAATGGTCTCAATGTGGACTTTACAAGCTTCAAAATCTCCCCATCCCATCCCAAGACCAGCACCCCCCTCCTTGACCTGTCCATCTTTTCTCCCACCGATCCGCTCCTCCCACCTCACGGACCAACTCACACCCCCACTTCTCACCTACACTCACCTTTACTGGCTTCATCCCCGCCTCCTTGACCTGTCTGTCTTCTCTCCACCTATCTGCTTTTGAGACCAGTGGGTTGTAGTGTTCCCAGGCGGAATATGAGGTGCTGTTCCTCCAGCCTTTGGGTGGCGTTGTTGTGGCACTGGAGGAGCCCCAGGATGGACATGTCATCCAAGGAGTGGGAGGGGGAGTTGAAGTGGTTAGTGACTGGGAAGTGTTGTCGTTTGTGATGAACCGAGCGTAGGTGCTCCACCAAGCGGTCTCCAAGCCTCCGCTTGGTTTCCCCGATGTACAGGATGCCACATCGGGAACAACTCAAACTGAGTGTCTTCTGCAAATTCATGATAACCTCAATTCTCTTATGCTCTATACCCTTATTAATATAACGTGGGTACTGTATGCTATTCTCTGTACCAAGTCTATGGCATTAATAGAAATCCTGCCATCTTCAATGATTTATAGAAATAAGATATAGACCTTCTTTGCTCGGCAGCCCATTTAGAATTGTGCCAATCAGCGGTCTCTCCATGTTCTTCACACTAAAATTAAACACTTCACATTTACCTGCATTTAACTTAATTTGCCACCTGTCTGCCCAGCTGACTAACTTATAAATGTTAATATGGTCCCAGCATACAGTAATACTAACTATTCAAATCACAGAACAGAATCAGAGGCTTGATAGATAATTAGTTTTATTTGTGTTTTTCTCACATTCAAGCACTGAACACAAGAGACTATTAGTGTACTTTTAATAAGAAGCCTTAAAATAAAACCAATTTATATACAAGTCAAGGACTATTTGAATGATCTCATTAAATATCAGAAGGGGTCATCCATTTCACCCGCAGCAATACATGTAGACACTCAAACCTCAATGAAGAGGCACCCTTATCTTCACACTAAAATTCTTGCTCAGCTGCCAGAGCTGTAATTAGTTTCATTTCAGCAAAATTCTGAGTATTCACATTTTCTTTAGTTAATGTGTCTCTATAAACAAGCTAACTCAGCTCACTTATTACTTAAAATATGTTCCCTGAACTCAGCCTTGTAGGCTGTCTTCCTCTGACAACTCCACAGCTTTCTGCTTCTACAGCTTCTAAGGACTTCTCAGGCCTGACTGTTTGAAGTCTAACAGCATCTGGGGAGGTCCACTACAAAACTTCCCTTAATCCTCCAAAATATCCACAAACTGTTCTTTTACCTGACACTCAGCCAAATTCATAAAGCTGATCCTTTAATTCCATAAACTATAACTTTACTCACATTGTTAAAAGCACTCTTCATTGTCTCCACCTTCACTGGATCAGCTTGGCTTCTTTGATAGCATCTTGCAAATCTGCTGCCTCTACCACCTCAGAGAGTGAAAGACAGATTGGACAACATCCCAACTTACAACTATATCACCATTCCTTTGTTGCCGAGTCAAAGTCCTGGATCTCCTTCCCTAACAGCACTGTTGGTTTACGTGTACCATACTGACTGCAGTAGTTCACTGTGGCAGCTTACCACCAATCTTCTCAAGATTAATTAGGGATTGGCAATAAATACTGGCCTAATCGGCAACATCCACACTTTTGTATGAAAAAGAGTGAATATAAACACAGCAGGAATGAATCAAAAATGATATTTTATTCTTCCAAAGTAACACCATTTACTACATTCTGAAGTCTGCTCCTTTACTATGAACCACAGACAAAATGGAAATGAACCCACAATGCTCTTTTTTCACTCCCTCATCGCAGTTCTTTTATTCAACAGTCGAGTTAAAAGTTGGAACTCGTGTAAGTTGACTACATATACATGAGTCCACTCTTTGTCAGTAACATTCATTTGTTTTAAATACAAGGCCAAATTTCAAACTGTAGAATATCCAGCAGTTAAGTTCAATTACATTACCCCTTTTTCCAATTACCTTATTCTACAATTCACTCTTCTACAATTACTACTTACATAGAAAAAGTAAAATGAAGAAATGTAACATCACTTCATTACAGCTTGTGCGAACACCACACCAATGTAGATTACAAATACATGTAACAAAGGAATGTTTGTAACAATTAAATTGTAAACGTTCATTTTGCAAAACATTAGTACTGTCCTTTTGAAAAATTATGGATTGATCTGAACTACAGAATGCAGCTTGTAACAACACGACTGAGTATAGATTACAGTACATCTTGTAAAATTAATTTCAACATAATTCTTGAAGGAAGACCCTATGAATCTTTCACACTGCGTTCTTATAGGACGACAATGTAATCAGCAGCCTTTGCTGCCCAATTTTCTACAGAATACAGCCAAGGAATAAGCTTTTCCTTGAAAACTTGCAATTGATTTTACAAAATGGTTCTGGAATTCTATACGCAGATTTTATAAATTTTCAATTTCAAGATTATTAAAATTTGTACCTCCCAACAGCACCAAATGTCTCCCATTAGGCAGCTTTGAGTTGGAACTGGACATTATAAGAAAAGTACAAATAATTTATGAGAAAAAGACATAAGCTGCAAGAACAGAAGAATTTGGCACCACTAGTAACTTAATGTTTTCCGTTGGAATAATCACAGTATCTTTATACATAAAAAGCAAAAACGTCTTGCTAATCTGAATTCCAGTAACAACTGAGGTATTATCTTTCCACGCGTAATAATCAGAGGGGTGGGAAGAGGCAGCTTCTATTTGGAGGTACTGATTTTGTAACATTTTGCTAATTAAAATTACTCTTTCTCCTCACTAAATTTGGTCAGTCATTGTTCTGACAGAAAAGTCTACAGCCACCTTTAATAACAATAATTGCCCGTTTAAAATTTTAACCAAAGCTTGGCAGATCACTGTCAATCTGCATTCATAGGTACATTCTCCATGACAACACCTCAACTGGAGTCCATGTACCAACTAATCAACATTCTCCTTTCATGCATTACAAATGCTCTTCTCCTTGAATTGATATTCTTGTAGATTGACCTGATGAGTACAAGAGAAGAGTTTTGACAAAAATGTGTCTATTTCAGAAATAACAAGAATTCGTTGAATTGTAACCAGATTGAAAATGTATGGTATTGCACAGAATACTAAAGTTCCCCGAATAACTATCGCTGTTTCTCTTATTATTCACCAGGTGCCTCATGTTTTTGTCTTCCACTCTCAGTTCCCCTTACAGCTATTGCTGTAATTGTGTACCTGAAGCTTGAGATTCTGTATGGCAACTGTTTGTCAACCGACTTCCCAGTCGTTGTTGAATATATTGCATGTTAACTGTCTATTAAGTTTTTACACTTTGATTTCTTTCCCCCCAAAGTGGAAATAATGTAGCAATATAGAACTGGCTAGAGTGAAGCAGAAATAGAAAAACAGGAGGGGGGAAATCTCACTGCCATGGTGATCATCAGATTCTCTTGTTATCCTTCCATGTTGTAACCGATTATGTATCTCTTTTTAATGTACTGGTCCTAGTTTGATGAGGCTGAAGATATGTCAGTGCAAGCACATCCATGGGTGTGGCAAACTTGGGCTTTGAGTCATGAGCTGGCCAAGGAAACACGAATGTGGATTTGGGCTTGAACTAGAAGGGAGCTATCCCAGATCATTACCGTAGATAAAACAGCAGTGTTAAAGCCTCACTACTTTATTGCCGACACTAATTAAATAAATAGATGCAAATGTAGTACTTCAGAGTACCTGCAGGTTTCAGCCTCAAGCAAATATCACAGTCTTACAATTGACAAAATTTTATGTTCAAATACAGCTATAAGCAGCATGATGCCAAATCCCAGCAGCATTCCAGAATTCTGTAGAAGGAAGTAAGCCCCATGACTGTAGTCATGATCACCAGCATCGCTGTGAAGCATTTCAGGAACCTGTATGAATAAATTGGAAGCCAGCTGAAGTTATTCATACTTTCAACACAGTCATACTGTAGTTCTAAGCAAAGCAAGAAACTAGTCCCAATTCAGAATCTAATAAAAGAGTTAATATTCTATCAGGACAATTTGGTCAGAGT